TATCTCCCGAATGCAAGGATGTAGCGATGTCAAATTTTGTCCATATCCTATCTAGAATAGTTGCATTAAATCTGTGAACAGAAAATTGTTCTATGATTACGAAAAAAATCGGGGCTCAAAGGGTTAATGTAGTTTGCTCCACATAGTTCTGATTCCTAGATAGTTCCTTTGAATCTTTTTTTTAATCGTTACTTTTGTTTTTTGAAAAAAGTGTAAAAATGAAAATAGTGTTGATTTTAATAATTTTTTATTTAGCAGAATATATATATTTTTTATCATTTATCTTTATAATTTTATATATATATATATTATCTTTATATTTACACAATAATAAATTGACGAGAATAAATAGAAAGAATATGGGAATAGATGAACAGGATCACTAAAAGGAATTGTAGGAACTAAAGAACTGAACCTAGTTCCTATCGTTCCTTTATCATTCCTATTTCGAACTAATCGAATGAACTAGTTCGTTCCGAAACTACCCATCTCTAGTGAAATCTGAAACTTCTGATTCCCTGCCTTTTTCGAAAGTCATCAACTTTTAAAACCTAATTAATTTCAAAACAATCAGTTATTCAGCTGTTTTGCTTTAACATGGGAATATATAGTCGAGAGCCAAATTTGACTTTTCGATTTTTGATTTTGTAAAATCTAATTTTTATTGACTAAAGCAAATTGGGCTACAATGTTGATATTTCACACTGTATAAAAGTTTTTTTTTATACAATTTATACAAAATTTCTGTCATTATAAATAGTCGGCATTGAATTTCTAATACAAAAAATCGATTAGTCACAAATCGATTTACATACTTCTTATTAAATATATAAAAAAAACAATTTTATTATTTGAAAATAAAATATAATTAATTTAAACTTCATAAAGCGTTACAATTCGCAATTAAAACTTATCCCCTGATGACTGTGATATACTCCAATTTTCCAAATACTAAACATTAATCTCCACTAAACCCTACCACAAAAGCCAGAAATCAATTAACAGTTCCTACGGAAAAAACAAGAAATTGCACAATCATTTTCAAAAACATCAATAGTCCATAAACATCAATTAAATCCTCTTTTGTTCGTGCAGTTCAGCACTACAACACCTACGTGACTTTCAACTGGCAACAAAAAGAAGAAGAACTTCCCTATATATGTGTATATCCTTGCTTGACATCCTTAAACCAAAACATATATCAAAGTGTAAAACCTCAAATGCCAAACAGCCAACCATGGCCATAAACACAAGATGTGGCAAGTACATGTTGCAGTCATTGGATGTTAGCAGCAGTTGTTGTTGGTGTTGTGGACATGCCACAGGAAACTAGTAGGAAGAACTACTACAGCATTTCATTTTTGGTGTTTTGTGCTGCGCTTTTCTATTTCCAAGTTATTAGAACACCACACCACACTCTACGTTGAACGACTAGAAACGGCCACAACCATTCGAAGCAGAATACTAAAGTGTGCCTTCAGTTTGATGTCTGGTACAAAATATTCCACTACTCCACATTAGGTGAAGACAAAAAAAAAGGAACAACATCACAACCGCCAGCTAGCTTTGCAAGCTACCTGCAAAAAAATCTAGTCTGCAAGCGGGCGACTAAACTATATTTTTGTACCAGAGGCGGGCTGGGGCCATTGCATGTTTGACTGGTAGTGCAACTTATGACAACAACGCCACTTGTTAGTGCCTTTTAACTGTTCTTCAATTTAGTTGAGCTCTTATTTGTTTCGTTTTAGTTTGTTTTCCTTCTTCTGGTTGTCATATTCTCCAGATGTGCCTGCTCTCTACGACGAGTCGACTATATGTGAGTGTTGGGGAAGTGTACATTCAAAATCTCGTCTACCGTTAAGGTAACGAGTTGGGAAGGTTATACAAGCATGCATGCATACATACATATATTAGTTGCCGAGCAATAGCTGCAGCGCATTGAAGCATTCAACCATTACAAGTGGGTACTGGTGCTGGTACTTGCTGTCAACATTCGTTGCACAATTGCAGGTAAAAGTGGCGGCGGTCTCGCTGTCGCCTTCTAAATGTCTGTGGCAAATGATGATTTTACAGTTTCGATTCATTTGGCATGTCGTTTTCTATTTCGTCGTGGTTTTTTTTTGTTGTTGTTTCTGTTTGTATTCAATATATTGTAAAACGATTGCCATCGAAATACTGAAAAATGTCATCATTCAATAATAAAATGACATGCCACTTGTATCGATTCAATATTGTATGGATTTAATAGTGGGAACACAAACACACACACAGACACATGTGTTCATATTTAGGCCAAGGATAAGAAAATTATTGGTGGAAGTTAAATGCGTTGGAATAATTTTGAAAGATTTCATAGATTGTTGGATTGGAAAGTTTGAATCGTGAAAAGTGAGGCTACTCATTTCACATTAGATTGAGTTCCTATCGATTCCACTTGTACTTTGAGAATTGATTACCGAATTTTTATGAATTGTAATTTATGAAAATAATTTGAAATTCCAAATATAAATATTCTACGAAAAAAGTCCAGTAATGTATATTGTAGCCCTCGTACGTAATAAATTCGAACCTACACTAATTCAAGAATTCCAAATGAAGATATGCATCTGTCTGCTAAATGCATAAAATTTTCAATATACTAGGTCCAATTATAAAGGTCCAGTCCATGACTCAAACATATACGTCAGGATCATATTCAGAATGTTCTGGCTCAACACCACACCAAGTCACGTAAAGTTGTGTCAATATGGTATTCCGACTTATTTGTAGATTTTTTCAATCTTGAATCATTTTATTGTTTTGCATACAAAAATGGCCGTATTTTGAATATCCCAGACGACTTTTCCAACTTCACTAACTTTATGCAAGTGGTAAAAATCCTCTCGGAAGAAATTTGGAAGTGTAGGCCCAAGCTTAGGCATAGCCCCACCATACAAGTCCCGACAGTTCCCTTTTGAATTCACAAAAATTTCGTTTCGGACATGCAAGAAGAATATTTGAAATTTGGGATTTATAAAAAAATTTAGTCTGTGGGTAATTGAGTTTGACATTGAATTTGGTCTAATCGACTTTGTTATTGAAAAGTATGTTTAATCTGAGATGTAGGGCGCCAGTTTCTCAAATATTTTTATATAGAGGCCTTTCTTGTATAGCTCACTTTTTCAGACAGATTTGAACTCATTAAATAATTGTACTAACTGTTGGGCGCCACAAACAATTATTGACAGTAAATCGGTGATAAATTGAAGGGGAAAAATAAAAGTTTTTGCGCTATTTAAAGTTTGTTGTGTCAGTTTTTTTATGTCAGAAATTTTTCTGGTAATTATAAATTATTAGGATTCTAGAGTTTTATTCGGCTATTTATAATGAAGTGTTTTCATTATAAAATTGTGCCACTGGAAATAATTTGAACAAAAACAGAAAAATATCTGAACTATGTTGTGGGCCATTGTCAAAATTTTCTGGTAAATTATTTGGATGCTGTCAAGATTTTGTTGGAGAATTATTGGAATACTATATCTCTTTATTTGGGTCAACTGTTGGGCGCCACTTGAAATAATTTGAACGGAAAATCGTTGTACAATTTGGGCGCTATTTTATAAATGTGAAGATTTACTGGCGAACTATTGGTATTCCAGGAATTTATTCAGCAAATTTTCTCATCTAACTCATCAGTAAAGATTATCTGTCAGAGTTTCACAGGACACCCTATTGTAAAATTCATATTTGGTATTCCAGGATTTTATTCAGCAAATTTTCTCATCTAACTCATCAGTAAAGATTATCTGTCAGAGTTTCACAGGACACCCTATTGTAAAATTCATATTTTAATGTAAAGATTTTATGGAGCATTATTGGAATACGAGATCACATTGTTTTGAAAATTGAGGCAACTGTTTGGCGCAACTAGAAATAATTTGACCGAAAATATGAATATCGTTGTACAATTTGGGCGTCATTTTTATAAATGTCAAGATTTTCCGGTGAAGTATTAGAATACTAATTGTTTATTCCGCCTGTTTTCTCATCTAACTCGTCAGGAATCACAAATTGGGCGCCAGTTTTTTTGTCTACATTTTGGTCTAACTTGCAAGGGACACCCTATTATAAAATAATTTAAACAAAAACATGGAAATTTTTGTACCATGTTGGACACCATTTTTTTTAATATGAACATTTTTGAAGCATTATTGGATGCTAGATCACTTTATATTGAACATTAAGTCAACTGTTGGGCGCCACTAGAAATAATTTGAACGAAAAAGGGATTTTTATTCAGCGTATTTTCTCCTCTAACTCATCAGTAAAGATTATCAGTCAGATTTTATTTTTCTATAAAATTTTGTTGCCAATTGGGCGCCACTATAAATTTTTAAACGACTACTAAAATTATTTACTAGTGTTTTGGTTTTTCGGGTATTTAGAATAGACTTCCTTACAATAAATTGGTATAATTAAGGATCCCGCCAAAAAAGATCCCGAAATGGGTATGCGCATTTTTAAATCAAAGTGGATCTAATTTGGTATATATATATATTCTTTAGAATATAGTTTAATGTTTTTGTCATAGCCTCCATATAACAGCGGCGCCCAATTTTAGGCAATTCCAAAGTTCTATCCGATTTGTTTTAACAGAATTGAAGTTAATTTGTCTTTAAGATGAGTTAATAAAAGTCGGAAATGAATTTCACAAAATTGGATGAATGATTTTTCATATCGCTCCGATGTTCGTTTTTTCGAACATGTTTTGGACATTTGGAGTTTCACATATTATAGGTTATCTAAAATTTTAAGCATTGATTAAATTCCTTCCACTTCTCTTGGTATTCACTTCAACTCCCATCCATTTACATTTTGTTGTATTATTTGCTTCTGGGATTTCCCTATTTTTTTTTTTTAAAGGAATATCCTTGTAATCACTTTCATCTCACCAACTGAAATTGTCCTCGCACTATCCTTTTAACTTCCTTTAGAGAATCATTTCATTTCATTACACTTACCTTATCTTTATTGGTGATAGCAGTTGGTAGTCCTTGTTTTTGTTGAGCTTGTTGTTGTTGCTGCTGTTGATAGAATTCCTCGCGACCATTGTTATTTAAACTATCGATTATGGCCGATGTGTTGACATGAGCATCATAAACAATATCCTGATTGTTCGAACCATAACTATTCGATGGCAAAGTTGAGGCTGTTGATACACTAGTTGCTGCTGCGGAGGAGGCGGATGACGATGAAGCGGACAAACTTGCCATGTTATTAACAGGATTAATACCACCATAAGATGAAGTGGTTAGCGTTGAACTGGACGAAGAAGTGTATTTATCTAAGCCCGATGGTGAGACGGACACGGGTTTGGGAGGTGCCTGTTGATAGGATTGCAACGAAGGTTGACTCAGTGGTTTGTGGCTAATTTTCTGTTGATACGATGATTGTGTTACAGTTGAGGGTGCGTGTGTAATCCTTTGCTTGGTCGATGAGGTTTTAGTATAGGACGATGTAGAAGGACGACGTTTACCACCTGTACCTTTGGTTGATGTATGGCCGTTGGGTCTCTTGGTGGCACGAGTTTTTGTGGTTTTACCACTTGTGGTCAGAGTTCTTTGGCTACCAATGGTGGTGCTAAGGGTGGCCATTGTCTCACTTTCATCAGCCGCTGCTGTAATACCCACATTGTTGGAACGTGCAGCCACAAAATCTTCTTGAGGATCAGTTATTTCAGTGGCCGATTCCATGGTCGAGATATCGTAATCCTCACTGGCGGTGGGTATATCTGTTGAGCTTTCAGCGCTTTCATCCTGGCCCACTGTTTCTGCATTCATTTCTGTGGTCGTGGGAAATTCGGGAATTTGTCCAGTCTGTGATGTGGTTACAGCCGCCTGGGCAGCAGCCAATTTATCCATGGAATTTTGTAATTGCAACAATGTGGTTTCATCCAAGACCAAAGTGGGTTCAGTTTTACCCTCTTCCTCTTCTTCGGCAGCAAAGGCATCTGTAACATCCGTGGGTGTTAAAGTGGAGTTTTCTTCTTCATCATCTTCATTGTGTTTGTCGGCAGATTTACTTTGTGTTGAATTTGCTAATAATTTTTCATTGATATCCAATGTCTCCTTGAGACGTGCCACTCTCTCCACAATCCTTTCCAACATATCCTTTTGGGATTCTGGTAGATTTTTCGTATCCAGTGTTAGCAATTTATTGTATTTTTCAATGTTTTGCTTAACCGTTTCAATATCGGCTTGCATTTTGGAGTCGGCGGATGGGGCCACAGGACGTTCCTCGCTGGGTTGGTAATAGGTACGTGCTCGCCGATTGCTATAGCCCACCAGTTCAATTACGCCCGGATAATTATCGGCCAGAGTAAATGTGGCCATTAACGACAGCAGGGTAAGCAGTAAGAAAAATGATCGTAATAAACCCATTTTCCACAGTTATATTTTTAACAAATTATATATTTTTGTTATAACTTTTAAACACCAAATTTTCTTAATTTTTTTATTATAGTTTAACTTTTTTCTGTCAAAAAAATATTTTTTTTATTTCGAACACTTGTTCCTTTTCTTCTTTTCAATTCAAATAACTTTGGATTCCAATAAACTTATTTTTCGAATTATTTTTTTTCTTCTTGTTTTTTCGTTTGTTCTGTTCTATGTTATAAATGTCAGATAACTGTTTATTTCGTTACGTTTTGGCCAACTAAAGTGCTAGTTAATAAACCAATTTTCTTGTTTTGGCCTCCACACTCAACAACACTCCACTGGAAAAGAAGCAGCACTATTTTTTTCTCCACTTTTGGTGCGATCGTTTTTCACAAGACACAACTTCACGTTTTAAACAAGATTCTTTTACTGTCGCTCGCTCGCTCACTGGTGCCCGAAGAAAGTTCAAGTTTGCCAAAGCTAAAGGCAATTTCACGAACCGTTACCGCGCTTAAGAGTTTTCCAAAGATACAGCAACACAAAACTAATTTGAGCTGAATTTAAACTGCAAGAATCGCTAACAACAAACAACTTGCTTCTATATTTTCTGCTTGTTGTTGGTGTTGCTGTTTGCCTAGCTCGGGGATCACAAGACAAGAATTATTTTTGAGATTTCAGATTAACTGGGCGTACAAGAACGCTGGACTTGTAAATAGTAGCACCGCCGTGGTACAAATGTTTTGAGTTTTGATTTTGCAGCGTCTTTTAAAATTTTTTCCTCCAAACCGTAATTTACACACAAGCAAACACCCAACTAACAACAACATAACTAGCCAACGAACAAGTCAGGCAACCGAAACAACCACCTCATCGCAGCATAGATCCCCATTCCAAGCAATGTTTTCTCGCAACATTTTTCCCAAGTTCATGGCTTTTTCTCAAAGCCAACAAAACACACACAACGGCATAGAGACTGGTTTGCAACATAGATAGGTTTAAGCCGAGTTTGATACCAACATCCAACATGTTGTATTGCAACTTTCTTTCTATCTTGTAACAACAAATTCAATGGATGAGAGTAACTTTCTTTTGTCTCTTCTTCTCAACACTTGGTTGCCTCTTTCTTTAGTGTTTATAAGCGGAGTTCTATGAAATTTCTCTTTGATACGATTCTCTTATGGTTTGATATTAATTTTTTTTTTTTTACTCTTTCCAGTTGACATTTTTTATATGAACAGTGGTTGTGAGAAAAAAGTAATGTTGGTTTGTTCGTATGTGATTTGTGTAACAAAACCATGATTTGAAAAGGTTTCATTGGATCTTTTACTGAGACTTAATAGATTTTAAATTATATTACAATATGAAAATAAATTAATATTTCGATTTAGGATCATTTGTATGCGCTTTCTTACGTCATTCCATTATAGGTATTAAACAAAGTACACAAACATTTGGCCCTTGAGCCCATTTATTTTTTATAAAAATTAAATTTTACGCGGGTTAGGGAATGTGAGCAATGAGCAACCATCAGTCAACATTTAGCGGCTCATGATCAAGTCTTTTGTATGGAAAACTGCGAAAGTTTGATTCTATTGCGTATAGGTTTACTGTGGGAAACATATTCTCGAAAAGTTTGCATTGTACTCAAGGGGAGCTGTTGATCTTTACATTTATTTACGTTATATCGATGTATGAATTCAGATAAAGAATTTATAAAATATTAGGTTGGGCAAAAAGAAATCCATTATTTTTATATGAGTTATAGGACTTTATTTAGCATTCTGCGAAATGTCTGATTTGGGCCAAATATGCACCGATATGTTGTATGATTTATTGCCATTTTAAAGATAACTTCATAATGTCTCTCTCATAGAAGTCCTGTTCTCTATAGTTCTTCGAAATCTTCAGAGCGGTACAAGTTCTGTACATTCATTATTGAGGTCTACGATCTGATATTCAAAGCTCTCTAGGTATAAATAAAGCATGCCTAACAAGTAGTTCTTCAACCGACAGCATCCATGTAGATAGCCGTAGTGATACCCGACAGGCATTGGGTTAGGATTTCAAAGTCCGCTGCGGAATGCTAAGGAACATCTCAGTGAGTTATAGTTCTTCTTTCTGGTTGATGCTACATTTTCAACCTTCCAAGAACTATTTTTTCTACTGTTGGATCCACTTTCTACTTTCTTATCAATTAGGTATCTCTGGCCTAGTAAGAATGAATTCAGCATCCATTGTCCTCCTTCATTTGGACGGGTGAAGTAACCAACGTGTCCTCCTTGCACATCCATTGGCCTTATACCTTGGTCATGTCAAAGTTTCATTTTTTCTACAACGCTCGTAGTCTTTCTGAAGTATGTAAGTTATGCCGTAACGGATTGGTCCGACATATTCGGGAAGTTCAATATTTTACTCCACAGAGCTTTAACCTCTACAGCATTTAGTGCGATAATTTCTATCCTTCCTGGCAGTGACCACCTTTGGAGCGGTTCCAGATGAGGTAACCCTATAGACCTAATCTTAGAATTTAATGTGGGCTTGAAAAAAATGAAAAATCTGATATTCATAATCCTGATATTGGTTAATAAATATTAAAAATGTTTATACTTTTTGAGGAAGGTGCCAGAAGGAGTGGACCAATGGGCCTATCTTCAATCTTGATCTATGAAAGGTAAATATATTACCATGACCAATTTTCGGAATGAATTGTTCCATTTCCCTCCATATGAGATTAAAATATTTTCAAAATTGTGACCCATTAGGGGGTGGGGGGGGGGGGGGGGGGGGTGATGTGTGGTACTAGACTAGTGGACCGATGGTTCCATATTTCATTCAACCAAGTCTAGATAAAAATATTACGACGTGTAAAGTTTGGATGAAATTTAATATTATTTTCGTTTCACAAGTTTTAAAAATGTTGAGCTTTTGTGTGGTACTAGAAGGAGTAAGATAAGAGCCATCTCCAAACAATGATTCAAATAAAAGATTTTGCAAATTTTGGTCTGGATGGGCGGAAATTTGCAAATCGATTTCAAATTTTCTGAAGCGGATTTGGTCGAAAGAAACATGGGGTCCAAAAACAATATTTCGATTAGGCATATTTTTGTCATAGCAAAGTGTCTCAGTAGCCATAAGGCTGATGGTATAAAAATAATCAATATTGGTCCACTTATAGAGAATCCCCATATATTCGCAATTTTCGAGAGTATGACAATGTTTTTCAACTAAATTGGTTGTATTTGGTGAATAGTTGGATAATTTTTGTTTTCATTGGGTGGGCAATCCTTCTACCAAAAATTACCAATATTGTCAGTATTTTGAGGATTTAAAATATTGGCCCTGTATAAGTTTGATGCGGATGCCATCAACTCACTGGAATAAATTTCTATGTCGATTTTGGTATAGCCCTCTGTGTGTCCGCTTGCTAAAATCTCGATTGAGTTCGCAATGTTTAAGATATAGCTTGGATATTGTGTAATTACATTGTTACTACTTCTAGGATGTTAACTATTGGGATATGGTCTATATTTCGGACAGGTTAAAGTGGGCTCTAATTTAATATTTTGGGTTCTTGTTGGGTAGCAAATCTTGCTACCAAAAATATAATATTAATGTTCCCCTTATACTGGTCCTCCCCAATATTTGATAATTTTAGAATTTTTTATACCGAAGTGTTTGTAATATGATATTTTGAGTTCTCACTGGGAGCAAATCTTCCTACCGATTATCAATATTGATCCAGTTTTTAGATAGGTCCCATAACATGGCACTTGAGCTTTCAGGACTAGGTATCATATATCGGTACGCCATTGTCAGTATTTTGAGGATTTAAAATATTGGTCCTGTATAAGTTTGATGCGGAGGCCATCAACTCACTGAGTTTTCTACCGACTTTCTAATAATAAATATTCTACAATATTTAGAACAACAACTTATTCACACTTGCATCGCAGATTATCCAAATGTAAGTATCGAAATATGTTGTATATCGATTATAAATTAATTTATTTCCTATTGTTTTTAATACTACCTTTCAAAATGTTCCACTCCGATTTCATGAATAATTTTTTGTATATAACCTGATTCTACTTCCGTGCAAGAATTTTCCAACGTTATCAAATTGAGTTAAATTACTCATGATCGTGTTGTTGTTGTTGCTGCTGCTGTTTAGTTTCATCGACCATCAATTCCGTGCACACAGATAGAATCTCTTCAATCCGTCCTTGCTGGGTTGCCTTTCCTCTATCCATGGTTAATAAGTTTTTCTTATTCAGACAGAAGAAAAAGTTATTTCTAATTTGTGCTCTGTGTTAATTTTTTTTCTATTCATTCTTGGCAATTGAAAAGTTTTATCGATGCGCATAAAGGTACTCAAGGCGCATACTATTAACATTGGCTGCCACCTGTAACTGTTCGTCGCTGTCTGTCGGTCTTCTTCTTCTATGTCTTCGTCTCGATTGTATTCATTGTCTTTGTGCCGCTTATGTATTGTTGCTGTTAATTTTTTCCATTTATTTCATTTATTATTAGAAGAAGACTCAGTCGAATAAAATTCCGCCACATGCACAAACATAGCTACATACCTACGGTTGTAAGCTCACTAACCGCTGGGATGTTCTGCTGGCTTTACAAGTGGCATTAATCCATTAGCATAGGACAACGTGGTTGGTTGGTGATGATGATAATATTTACTAGCTGTAGTTGTTGTTGTTATTCTGTTCTGTTCTGTTATAAATACAATGTTTCGACTCAAAATCAGAATAGAGAAAATGAACATGCTATGGGTTGTTGTGTTGTTGTTGTTGTTTGCCACCATACGGGGTAATCTTCAAGTTTCCATTATTTAATGATGCTGTTACTCTATGTTAACCTATTGCATTGGTTTTTTAATGTGTCTTTTTTTTCTTCCGTAAACTGGTTCATATATAGATATAGTGACAGATAGATGTATGAGAACATAT